CCGATTGCATAGGAATTTATATCTGTTATACAACTCGACTACATAAAACTCTTATCATGTAAAAATCAGAGGCAGCATTTTTATTCCCGTTTGATTACGATCCATATAAAAGCCGAAGCATTCTACACGTCAATTTGATTTAATATTTCGTACGGCGTTTTCAATGTAAATCTAGTCGACCTCAATAATCTGGAGAGTATTCTAAGAATAAGAAATCCAACCGATACAAGTCTGCAAGTCAATAACTCAGTGGGAAGTCAAGCAATAGCTGGCTCGGCGGTTCAGTACGTCGCCGTTCGTAAGTTATGAGACGCATGCATCAGAGAAATGTGTTTTCTTACACCGAGTAGACTCCTGTGTGCTACACACGAGTGTCCGTCGATATTAAGGCGCGGTTTCGCAAAAACTGCTCCCGTTCTGACATTACAGTACGTCACCAGGTACAAATAAGGCCTGTCGCGTGACCAAATGTTCAAACCAATAAACCATCGGTTTACGTGATAAGGCTGGCCGAGTTAGTTACGGTTTGATCGTAGCGTTACAATGGGAATTATGTTTTAATGACTTTGCTCATTGTTCTCCGAGTATTAATTGTTTACATACGTATTGCATGCAGAAAGTACTGGTGACGTCATACATCATATTACTCAGACTGAATAAGTGTTTTAATTAAAATTTCCATTTGGCCGTCTGTTTCCTCTAAGGTAATAAAGTGATCACTCAACTACTTATTTAAGGCGAGCATATTTCTATGAGCTATAAATTGTTCGTGCACGAACATGTTTGTTAGTACATGCTAATTGTTACATGTACTGGGTCTGGGTTTCTTCTCAGATTGGTTGAACACTATAGACAGTAGTGAATCGAGTCGTGTAAATAGAATTAGGATATTAGATAATAGGTTTGGAACTTTCCCAGAGGAAACAGTGAAAGGCAGTGATGACAAACAAGTGCTTTGTTCCAGTCATTAGGCGCAGTGTGCGGGGAGCGTCGCGCGTCGTCTGCAGGCGACAGCGAACGCGTCGCGTCACACGACACGAATGTTTGTCACGCGACACGGCGTCGCTCGCGATTTTTGAATCATTTATCAACCGCTTGTTTACTCTGCTTTACGCTACTGCGACCGGTTTCGACGGCCGAGCAAAAACTGGGTCATTCTTCATTACGGCCACAACGCAAGTCAATTCATTGATTTCCACAATCGCTCATACATTTTTACGATTAATATGTCTGGCGTGACAGCCGACTATTCTATTATACTTATTAACAGGGATCAATAAAATATAGACATTGAATAGATAGCAATCGCTTGAATTGACATTAAGTTGGTGTTTAATCACGTTGCATGAGAATGCGTTTTAAAGAGGCAAGTTGAGCTTGTCGCAATGTAGAGTGACTTTCACAATGCACTCGTCGCATGCGAGTGAGCTAGTAAACGTCTATAATGCATTTGTAGAATGGGGCTCCTCGCATAAATATAACAAGAATGTACCTAAGTAGAAGCGATACAAGTGATCTTCCTACGTATTTATCTCCAAATTTTCCCACAATTTGTTTTGCATGTATAATTTATAGGACATCAAAGGTCTGGAATAAGGTTACGTACATTGTTCTAGCGGGTTTAATTAAGAGCTACCGAGAGTATCCGAAAGATCGTAAAACGCGACGATAGTTGGCTCGGCTTTATGCGGTGTCTTACAATTATTTCCTTCTCGGGGAATATCATTATTATATATTACTTCTTTTTATGGCGGGTGACGTTTTACGACGGTGCCTTCTTTCGGACAAATTCCACAATTTTGAATGAAATTGTTCGTGGAGTGTGTAGTACTAATGATGTAAGTTTTCCCTATTACGAAATGGATCAGTTTGCGTACAGTTATAAAGTTTATTCTTTCCTGTTTGCAAGATTAACATAACGATACAGAAATCCACGCTAAATTACTACTTACTCGTGTTTGATTTTATATCGTTAAATCTAATTTCACGGTAATTGCACACAAAAAACTGAACAATATCATTAAGAGAATCAATAAAACGAAGCGTGTGAAAATTAGTGTTGTTGTGTCCATGTTAGTCTTTAGTCTTTAGTCTTTACACATTTAGATTCTTTATCACATAATCGAATAGTTATCAAAGTTAGTTCATAGACAGCGCGTACAGCGTACATCTGCAATCCTTCGTCACGTTCGCTCGTTGTGACGTGCATCGCGTCACGTTGCCAGTTCGGAGCCGTGACGTCAGCATGACAGAGTGACCGTACACCCGTGATCCCGCGTCCCAAACCGGTAGACACTACTGAATCATTTATTATCACACTACCGCAGCTACCATCGATCACAAACAAAACTATTCCAATGTTTATATCATCCCCCCCACTGTCTCTCACTGCAATCTTACAATTTTCTCGCTTCAAAACCGCACTAAAGGAATTATGAAACCAATTTCATAACAATTTTCACAACTTAAGGTAATAGATGCATCAAGGATGTTGTGTCACTGATTAAAGCAATACATGTAAAGCCAGTGTTTGCAGACTTATTTTGTTTTGATACAATAACCTTTAAAAGAACCCCTAAATAGAAAGTCCATTGTCCCTAATCCCTACATGAGCGCGGATTGTAAATTGGCCCAAATTAGCCGTTATTCAAACATTACCGCGAACGGAAAAAAATATCGGATAACCACTAAAGTTCACCTGAAAAATGGTAGATTCTGTAAAGTAGGGAGAGGAAACCGCGTATCAAATAACTTCATTCTCTTTTGTTATGGTAATGTCCACCCCGAAACTCAGAGCCGAGTATAATCTTGAAAGAAATAAAAATGTGTTTTAAGGGGCACTGTTTACCCTTACTGTCGGTAACTTGACCGAATCTGATTGAAACAATATGGCGATTAATGTAAATATCATTACATTTTTGTCGTTACGTAATCTCAAAATGGCGGATGTTATACAACGTTTAACAAGTCAAACATTACTGTTGTATGTATTCTATATAGAACAGTTTGATAAGCTGTTAATCATAGAGGATGTAGGTGTGTTCGATACTGTTATTACTAATACTTATTATTATTAAATATTTAGTAATCGATCATCTCTTATTACTGTTACAAAAGTGGTTGCACTTTAAGTAAATATCACGATAATACATGACAGTACATGATAACAAACACATCAATACATACATGATAGTACATGGTAACAAGCACACATCGCCCTAACAGACAATCTTTGTCTTAAGCTTAACCCCATAAAACACTTAATCACAAACCCATTATAAGCAGTTTCTATTTTACAGATACAGATTGGGGACAAGACGAAATCTATACGAAATTAAATGGAGTTTCCACGCCAATGGTTTCGGGATTTCTGAGCCTTTCTCAGAACTAGGAACCGGGTTACGATCAAAACGTACGGAACTGAACCGCAGATACCCGTAGAATTTCTTTCAGAGAATTAACATAAAATAATTCGTATCAATACAGAGTTGTATTTAAAATTATTCAAGCGTAACGTGATAAGTGAAAAAGTAATGAAGCAATTACGGATTTAATGTACAGTTTGAAAAAGTTAAAGTAAAAACATCTCGGAAATAAATAAAGTTCTAAACTGTAATCGAAGATGACTCATATTGTCAATGAGGCAAATGACATAAATTGGAAAAATATGGAGTAAGTTCATCTCTATGTACGCTTTCAAAGAAAAAACATTTGTGTATGTAAGAAACTCATTCCCTTCAACAACATAGTACACGGAGTATCAAAGTATATCAAAACTAAGTAAGCCAAGTTAAATCTTTTAAAGTTATTAAGTAATAGCGACTTGAACTAAAACTGAAACTACCTTCCACAAGGACTTTTCGAATTGAACTACGCCACGTGAACTTCTAGGAAAATTTCTTTAAAAACTTTTCAACGAATTTCATTGCAAACATCCGTAGTTACTATGGATAAGGAAAAATTCTTCTAGATTCTTTTTTTGCTCGATACCGTCGAAGCGAAGTCATTATTTTGATCTCTCTATCTGAGTAATCATAAATTAGATACTTTAAGACAAAAACTATAAGGATATTAACATCAATTTTCCTCTTAACTATTTCGTTCGACATTTCCATGATCTTATCAAAAAGTGTTGTTTCAAATCTGATGGATTCAAGAAATAAAGTGTCTGTTTTATAACAGTGGCATACGTAGCTGATATTGTTTACATTTCAAATGCAAGCGAGTAGGTACTTGATGTAGACTAGCTTGGAGAGTAGGATCGTATGAAACAAGGCCACAATCAATATGTGTCGTATACTCGGGACGAATGCATAACCAAATTACGTTCGGACTTAATCAGAATCCTTCACCTAAATGCATACAAAATGTCAAAACGGCTTTTTTTATTTCTTAGAGAAGACCGAGCCAAATGGAAATAGATAAATGTAATAAAAAAAATGTAACACATACTTTTCACCGGGTTATGAAAAGAAAACCCAATGAAACTAATTTCGATCTGACAATGGAATTAAAGATCTTGGTTGACGGTCGAATGCGACCAACTAATAAAGCATCAAAAGAGGTTAACACAGTATAAATAAGTACGAAAATCAAAAGGACTATGAATTCTATGAAACCAGGTTTGATAAACATAGCGGCTCAGGAGTTGATAACAATGTAGTGGCACCGTGCCAGCCCATGGTATATCTACTAGCTACAAACATACAACGTCGACCCAACTATGACCCGGATTGACTTCCACTCGCAAATATATTACTAATTCACTTATGGAGGGAATTTATCCAAAAATTGGATGGCTGGTCTCTCGGATAGTAGGACAAGGAATTTCGCATAGTTTTTATTAACGCTAAAAACAATCCTGGTTTTTTTCACTATTCGGTGTGAAATTCAATTCTATTATTCTATATCCTAGTAGAACAGTAAGGTCAGGGATTTGTCAAAAGGTAATTTGGAATTAATTGATATATTAGTGCCTGTGAAAATGTACGAATACTTACATGGTGCAGGACTGGGAGGTTCAGCACAGATCCCAATAGATTTACTGGGGTCATCGATGAACCACTGCGCGAGGTGGTAGTCGCCAAGCTTGGTCTGTATCTGCTGGCTCACGCGATCCCTGTTGCCTGTTACCTGTTGAATAAAAATAAACATTAATACATTTATAATTAAATATAAAATGCTTTGACTTACATTGGGATATTCTCTTGTGTTCACAAACGCAATTTTCAAAGCCAATTCTAGAGAAATAATCCGTGTTACGTGTATTCCATTAATACTGTTCTATCTATTGTTGTGTGATTATGTGTGTCTCTCGTATGTGTCAGTACATCAATTATATAATCATTCGTTGCAAAGATTAGATTCCCATGCATAACCTGCAAGGACTCCTTCTCAATTAGATCATAATAATAGTTCTTCCCTAAGAAAATTAAACTACTCGTACTTAGCATTTGTCAATTGCGCGAGTGCAGTCGAAAACATAGAACATCGTCATCAGTAACGTATCTAGGTCAGAGGAGTGCTGATGTAGGTCAAGTTCATTAAGTAGGTGTACGAAACCATTAAGGCGTTAAACAAAACAAGGCATCGAACGTCCTTTAGCAAATTGAAAAAGGAAGATTATTTCTTTTGTTTTTTGGTATGTTGTGTTGTGATAAACAAGATGGAGGAGGGAATGAGGCGTGAATGGACAAATTAATGGCGATTGTTTATAAACTCAAAACACTAACCTCTACCTTTGTCTTTAATTTATTTAGTCATGTCATTAAAGGGCAAATTAAATTGTAGATCAAATTTGACTTGATAAGTTTTGAAATCAATCAATAAAGTATCATGGTCATCATCATTTAAAAAAATACTTCCTCATACAGAGACTAAAAATACATCGTAACCAAAAAACCCTTCAGAAGCTAAAATAATCTCTATCAAAATTATTCAGTTACTCGGTTTAGCAAAACCGCTAGGTGCGGCTTAGTGCCTGCACGGTTCTTATACAACGCTAGGGAGAAATCTAGAGATCAGGGAACATGAATTCATATTACATTTCAAAAATACTATAAGTACTAGTATTTAGCATTAATATGAGTATTTAATTTGAACTTCAAGCGATTTCTTTTCGCTTAAGTACTACTGCAAATTTAAATCAGTTATTAGCAGATGAAGGGAAAGGAGCTTAAGATGAAAATTTTCCGTTCACAGTTCTAATGTCGGAATATTTTTCACTTCAAAGTCAACATCAACATAGAGCAATTGACAGAAAAAATGTAGATTCCAAACTGTGTGGTAGATTTAAAAAAATATTTAAGAATCCAGAGGCCCTATTTCAAAATTTAGGACACAATAAAAAAAAACAAACTTTAAAAACACAGGAAGTGAAAGTGAATATTAGGAATTTTATCTATTCGTGTCTTTTTGTATCAAGAACGATAAGATAGCAGATACACAAAGCAAGGCCAACGAAACAGTTTCAATTGACAAAGCTCTTTACTAATGCACTTTGGTAGAAAACCCTCGAATTTATTCTATGACGCCAAATTTCTGACCTCGTTCGCTCCACAACCTAGTTTTCTCGGCCTTGAAAAATACTAGTCGTCTATCCACTAGAACCAGGTTTGCTCAGCAACGAGAAACCTTAATTAAATTGACTTTAACTTGTTCGCAAATTGTAATTAAATCTGAACCGAATATAAGGAAAAAGTATTGTTTGGTTATTATCTGAATTACTGTTGGTAATTACTGAGAAACAGAGGTTGATGTTATCTCTTTAAGTAAAAACATATTATCTTTTCTTGATATATTGTTTTTTCTGTATGTTTATAAAGTGATATATCGTACTAAGCTTTTGTATATATTATAATGATAATCAACGACTATCTGTCATGTTTTAGCTGAGATATTTTATCATTTATCGTCGGCAATGTGTCTCACTTGTCCATGACTATTACACAACTATAAGAAATGATTTAACTACATCTAAATCATTGATTTACATTTTATTTGCATAAGCTTTTGATTATCATCGTTATTAATTACGGCAATACTTTAATTATTAGCTCATTATTCTCAGGTGTTTGACAAATAAGATGTATGAAAAGTCCACCGTCTTAAAAACAGGTTTTGAGATTCAGGCACGCGTTCGTTCTCAATGCTATTCCAATTGTAAGTTCAAGTCATACCGAAGCTGACAATAAAACTGCATTGAACTGGTAAGCTTTTAAATGGTAATACGATCATAAATAGCGTATGTATCATCGTGAGGCCACGGCCGTGTGGTGGGCATGTGTCGTCTCGGCCTAAATAAACCAGCCCTGTCGACTAGTGATTCACAACGTACGCCTTATGAGATATATGCAGATAATAACACTATTTTTGCCATAATCTCCCGTTAGCTTCACCCAGGCTTTTATGGGTTTTTGTTACGGGGTACAGCCCCTACCGTCTAAGTGCTTGGCAAGACTTATAGGGTGACACGTGATGAATTTCAAAAGTGCTATTATGCAGATGGTTATGGCATTGTTGGTCTGATATTCATTGGAATTTGCGCTTTGGAACTTGTGTTAAGATGACTGCTTGACGGACAATCTTGCTATGCCTATTGAAGTTGTTCAAAGTCTACTTGTTATAGTATCAAGATGGATATGATTTTAGGTGCAAAAATGTATTTTCAACAAAATCATCATCCAAACAGTAATTAAATATTAAGTTAAGTATGAGAAGAAAACTGGTAAATTAAAATGTAATTGAAAAGAAAATTATAGAACAAATACAATCGGAAATTGTATGAAGTGATGCGATGACTTATTGATTGAAAATCGTAGCGGCAAATTGATAACAGTATCGTTAGTACGAGTACAACAAGAATATGATTAATTAAATGGCTCCCGACGAATGGCTCGGCCGGAACCGCTCGCAATGATTGTTTAAACCTTATTTAATATTCCAACCCAAGACTGTTGATTTAAATATTATTTCTAATTTAGATGATGGAATTTCTTTAATCGAATTGCAGTAAGATAAACAGACAAAATAATCATTAACTTTTTAAGCTAATGCCGCAAAAGTGATACAAATATAGTGTTAAAAGCTAAAGTGATTCTTTAACAACTTCTTTTAGTTATATCAACAGTACAAATACCACTAAAATATGGAGAAAATTCAACCAATGACCAATTTCCAAACACACTATTTGATCTTCACGAGCGAATTCACAACCAAATATTCTGAACATTTGATTCAAAAGCCTAGTAAAGAACCGAAAAATGGCTAAATGCAAACAGTTTTTAATACAGTTGAAACAGAGTTCGAAATGGAATAAAGTAAACGTATTGGATACCCGTTGAATGTGCAGAGATTTGATTGAAACGGCAAATCATTTATGAGACCTGTTTCCCGGAGTATTTTCCGCTCGGCTATTTACTAAAGTACCTTATGCGTCCTATATTCACATAATCCTACTAACTCGTTGCTCGTGTGTACGTTTTCCTGACGTGCAAGGGGTCATGGGATTGATGTTCGTGTCAGATTATGTATTATGGAGTTTTTATCTCATTAAAGAGTACGTGAAGATTGAGTTTACCTGAACTGAACTGACGCATTAGAAAATAACAAGTATAATTTAATGTCAGTTTCTAAATATTACATTCTTAAGCTAATCATTATTTGAGTCGTACATTTCCACATTTCACTCCCATGTCTGTCTATAAGAAATGATTCGATTTCGGATCGAATACAATCTTCGATAAAGGTCTTTGGAATTCAGGGAGCGTATGTTACGCTTTCTTTCTAAAGTGACCCTTACCGTAGGCATTCCAACGTCATCCCGGAGATCTCAGGGTATCAATAAAGTGGTTTTTATTGTAGACAACATTAATGATCTTGATATCGTCATCGTCGCGACTTGTTTGATTAACACACTAAAGGTCGTCAGCTCACTTTATATCAACTTGAATACAAAATTGATACATTTACGTTAGTCTAATAGGTGAGGTATTACTCAAACATCGTTTTAATTGGATTTTTTTAATGTTTGCCCACGAACTTTGAATAAACATGAGGTCTCAAACGTAAAAGTCAACATTATCCAAACGCGTTCAGCAATCGGCACCGATATCGTATACGACAAATATGTACAAATGGCTAATACGTCTGTGTTTAAATTCACAAAACTGTTTACTCTCTCGATTCGGACGATGTTCACAGATGAAGTGAGATGTAGGTCAATAGGCACATAAAAACAATCATTCTGACAACTACGGAAATACATATGTATGCGCTGTGCGCCTCTAAACGCGAACTAAGAATAGATCTCTTTGAAAATAATAGAAGCATAATTTTAGACTTGTATATTCTTGCCGTTTCATCTTTGCGTTAAGATTCCTGTTCAATCAATTATGGTACATATTTTTGTATAATAATCCGGTGTAAAGAACCTCAGCACTTGTATAAACAGCGAGAGGCGAAATCTAAATAAGACGAAGCAACAAGTCGATTGGTTTCCTTCCGATAGCTGGCTTACATGGTCGGAAATTAACAATGTACAAACAGCTAGTAATATAAATCTTGTCATTAAGGTGAACAAGTGAATTTCACCACGTGTTATTCGTATCTGTGACTATCATAAATCCCGTACGTGCAGACTTCGGGTGGTAGAGTCAACGCCCCGCCACTGTTGTGGGGCAGATCGGCGCCGCCCGCGCCCGCCCGCCGCCCGGGCGAAAGGACGTACTTCAGGGGCCGGTTACATCAAGTAACCACGAGTCGTGAACCATGCCTCTGAATATGTTTGTCCATCTTACATTTTGGCTGACTATACTAGATAGAAAGCAGTCTTGTCTAGATATGTTGATATACACAAGATCTTCGTGAACGTGTTCGATGATGATATCAGTTATTAAATGTCAATTAATGAAGAATTTGACGCCACAAGGCCGAAAAGAATGCAACAGGAAATATTAACGGTTATCGTATAGCTATCTGCATTATCATTTATCAATCTAGAGCGCCAAATACTAATTGGGAAATCGTTCGATATCTTTGGAAACTCCGTCCTTGGCTTGTTATAAATTATTGTAATACAAGGCAACTTAAGTAACCCGAAGTTTATGGAGATATTAATATAAGAAGGATAGTGG